AACGCAGCAGCGCCGCATCTAGTGGCTTCAACTGGATAGGCTAACAAAAACATTATAATGCAAGGACACTTACATCGTCATCGCATCTCGTGCGCCACTGATAAGGCTGCCTCCTTAACGCACACCTAAAATTCGAATGCAACGTTTTTGCATTAGAATGTGGATTTTTATTTTAAATTCGACGAATATTCGAAATTAAAAAAAAAAATTTGACAGCCCTAGTGTACACTATTTTAAAAATAAATATTATATATTTTCAATATTCTCTAATAAAAATTCATAATATTATTTTATTCCATAATATAATAAAATATATATTTATTCAAAGAAATATATACATAAACATTCTATTTATAAAATATCTGATATTTTTTCAAGATTCACTGATAAATAGAAAGTTCAAAAAATGATTTATATGAATGAGTTATTTATATATGATTTATTTGAAATTATTGTAAGATTTCTATTATATTATTATTATATATAATTATGTCTACCCAGGCATTTTACACACACACACAGAGTGTTCCCCGAATGGATTGATATAATTATTTGTCTTTTTATATACTTCATATAATCAAATAACCCACAAAACAATTTAATATAGAGTACACAGGCTAAGTCAAAGCCACATTAAATTCTCAAGCCACATTAAGTTGTCATAAAAATGAACATGTGTTTGTTACAGTACGATGCCAAAATGACAGCCTTTCTGCCACCAGCATCGGCCAATTTCTCGCTGTGTGTAACCTGAAAACACCACCGCAAATGGAGGCTGTGATTACACCTTCTGCCTGCAACGCTTCACAGGCGGAGGTTCTGCACAAAGCACAGAAAGAAGGAATTTAATCCAAAATGAGTTCTCTCCAGAGCAGAAGCGAGAGACTTTCACCTTTCTTCCTTTCTCTGTCTGAACTTTGGGCTCCGGCACAAAAACGCACGTCTTTTCCTGAAGTAATAACCGAGGACAGACACATGGGTCAAAAAATAAGTGCAGCCAACCTCACCTGTGTCCTTTGAACACCTGATTGCCGTCGCTGTCTGTCTGGAAGGTTTTATCCCGGCTTAAACTCTGCCAAGTAGGAAAGAAAGAGAGAAAAAGAGCAAAGGAGAAACATTTATAACAATGTGGAGAAAACGATCCAAATGCTATTGCTAACATGGGTCAGCAATAACGACAGCCTGCTGGCTTGGGGTCAGTGTGACAGTTTGGGGTCTCGCTGCATCTTACGTCTCGTTGATCATGTACATGTTTTTATGCCAACTAGAGCAGCTGAAAAAAAATCCTTACAGTTGATCACCGGCTAGAGCAAATTAGCTTACAGTCCTGGTACACACAGACAATCACGCTCCGTCCCGCAGCCTCCATTAGGTACCATGGGATTTAGCCCCGACTGTCTCCTAAATGGTCTGATCGATTGACTTAATGGCATTAATTAAGGAAGAGGCCGTAGGAGAAGTACGGTGGCCTGGACTGGACCACTGCTGACTCAAATCATTACATCACCTCTTTAAAGCCTGGCAATAAGGAGCATCAATAATACATGACAGGAAGAGTTAAAGCCAGCAGGAGATCTCCAGCCATTCTGGAAGGAAACGCATGTCTTTCATATTCAGATTTGCACATTAATACGGACAGACATCGCACTGGTCCGGAAATAAAATCCATGTGATCAGGAGAGGGAGATAGTTTTGAGAGACCTTGTTATAATTCAAACAATAGAGCCGTTCAGTTTGTAGTCGTGAAACCCGGGAAAGAATTGGCAATTTCCAGCTATGAGTTCCTTATGGAATATTTAATGGGGTTTTAGAATAGCACTTTTTGATTTGAGATTAAAGGGAGGTCTGTGGTTAAAATGACTTGAAGAGACTGTGTTCAACAAAGCCAGTTAAACATGGTAGACAAACGCTGTACCAAAATCTATGTGAAACCACTGTGTGCATTAAAGCATAATAAAGAGCTGCTACAGCTACCACGAGGAAGGCATGTGCATGAGAATCGTTGTCTCTTCTGCTCACAAAGACTGTATTTATTTAAACAAAAAAATACAATTAAAACAGTAATATTGTGAAAAATGATTGCAATATAAAATTTGTGTTTTCTATTTTAATGTATTTTAAAATCTAATTTATTCCTTTGAGGCAAAGCTGAACTTTCTTCAGTGTCACATGCTTCTTCAGAAATCGTTCTAATATGCTGATATGCTGCTCAATTATTATTTACAATTACAATTATCGCGTTTGCGATCACGGGAACTTAAAGACACTTGTACAAACACAAATGGGTTACGGTGATGTAGTATTTGGTTTCCCAACAAGGCCCATCGCCCAACACAAAATTTATTTGCTGTATGCATAAACTATTTTCCTGCGCTCAAACCTGCCAATCTAAAGGAAACGCTGTGTATGGCGTTTGAGGTCATTTGTGAATTACCATTGACTTAAGCCTCATACACACTGGGACGATTATCGCGCGCGCTTATCGCCGATGTTTTTCGATGCGTCTTTTGTGTTCATACCCAAGCATTTTTTTGGAGGCGATGAGCAGAGTGAACGTGCAAATTCACTCCCTGACATTAGATGGCGCTTAATGAAAAACAGAAATACCCTGGTACACATCGAATCCTATTTGATCTGCAATTCCTCTCCATAACAACTCTATCTTATCGAGATTTTTGTAGTCGCTGTCGCGTTTGTCATAAAGCCCTTTGTGTTCAGACGCCAATGAGACCAGCAGCTCTACATTCATCTTGCCTCGATGCATCTTCTTGGTCTACTTACTTCCTCTTCGTCGTTAGGTATCAATGTGTGCTCGGCAAGACCGTTTTGTGCTTGAGCGCCACCAAGTCGTGTTTTACTGTAACTTCAGCAGCTCCAGGCACGTGAACAAAAGCGCCAATCTCATTGGTCGGCCAGTTTTTAACGCAGCGCGTCAAACCAAAAAAATGAGCCCGAGGCGTTTTTTAAAAAATTATGCTTTTACACCTCGCGTTTTGCGCGTCGGTGTGCACACTCACATTGGCACCCTTCGTTTAGTCACGAGGCGTTAAACGTCGGAGATAATCGCGCGCGATATTTGTCCCGGTGTGAACAAGCCTATATAGTCTAAATAAAACAATTTGCAACTATTACGATTAGGTTACATTTGTATACAAAACTTCGCACAAAACATGCTTGTTATAGAGTGCGTGAAGTCACGTGCACTATTGCCGGTGGCAGTAGACGATGGTGATGTGGTTGTCACGGCACCGTCACAAACCTATTTGTTCCCACGTTTTAATTTAGTATAACATGGCTACAACTTAGCTAAAACATTAATAATTTGATATTGAATTGATTAGTATTATCATCAATTCAATACTTTTATTTTGTATTTTTAAATAAAATAACAAACAAAATAATAAATAAAGTCACGTGCACTATTGCCGGTGGCAGTAGACGATGGTGATGTGGCTGTCACGGCACCGTCACAACCCTATTTTTTCCCACGTTTTAATTTAGTATAACATGGCTACAACTTAGCTAAAACATTAATAATTTGATATTGAATTGATTAGTATTATCATCAATTCAATACTTTTATTTTGTATTTTTAAATAAAATAACAAACAAAATAATAAATAGTGTGATCATACTATTATATTTTTAAATAAAAAGTGAGTATTAAACAAAAATGCAATTATTTTATAATACAATGCTAATATTTAGATTTTCTTATGAATTTTCATCATTTTCAAACCCAAAATTAGCAAGCTTTTATTCTGTCGGGTTGCTGGCAAGTATGTATTTGCGCTGCTGGGTTGCCGAGTGAACAGTGTAAGTGAATGAAAAGTCATCTTGTGTTTTGCTGTGAAACCGGCAGCACATAACCTAGATTTGTGCTTTCAGCTCGACTGGAAATCTTATATATACAGTTATTCGATCTAAAACGGTGATTCTGCATTAACAGCTGTCTACCATGTCAGTACGCAAATGAGCGGTCTGAACTTGTTTACAGTTTGCATTTTTCATTTTGGTCACGCATGCGCACCTGCACGATACTTATGTGCACACCGTGTGTATTATATATATATATATATATATATAGTTAAATTAAGTTAAACCTCTACATTAAAGTGTTTGTATAGAGCAGGGCTGTTCAGAACTAGGGTTTTTAAGTTAAACAGATGTCTTTGTGAGTCAGAAAGTCTTGACAGGATTAGATAAAAAAAAAAAACTTCAGCAGTAACACACTTCTCCGCTCTGTATTCTTCTCTTTGCGTCTTTTTATTTTCCCTGTCTGTCTTTCGTCTTCAAGCAGGCAGGGAGTTGTAAGCTTTCCTGTCAGAAAGTCTTTTTCTATCTAAATATGGCAAATTCAACCCTCGTTCATCACTGACAAGACAATCCGAACAACAAGGGGAAAGAAACAGAGCTGAGGACGCACTTTCAACAGGGTGAAGAGGGCAATGAAACTGCTGGACTGAGAAGAGAAGCTTAACAGAGGCGTGTAAGGTCACAACTGCATAATAAACAATCATTTTCGACATGAAATCGAATCACTGAACACCATAAAGGCCCATCATCTAGTCCCGAGAGGAGGATTTTTTTGTTTTCCACAAATTTTACTGGCAAGTTATTGTATATTGTTCAAAGGGAAACTTCTGAACCAATCAGAATGCGAAGATCGAGGCCGAGGTTTTGGAAAGAATTCAGGACGCCATGTTCCAAGCCTCCTCACATTTCTTATATCCCACCAATTAATCTTACTGTGAAATCAACTTTAAGACAGTAGACCGAAAGTGTTAAGTGTAAAAACCAGCCTTAGAAGTCAAAGAGATACGAGTCTATCAATGAATAGCCTTTGAACATCTTGAAAGGTTTTAGAAACATGAAAAAATAAATAAATCAGGAAACCCTGTAGACTAATAAGGCTGGCTGAGATTCCAGACGCGAGGAGCAGAATGAAAAACCGAGAGGCTGAGAAAAAGCACGTCAGTACCAGCTAATTAATGCCCTGATTAATGTTTAAGAATGATGATGAATGCATCTGGACAGATTGGGAATGAACCGCACACAGTTTCACCTCAGTTTAAAGGCGTTTAGAAACAGGAACACATGCTGTCTCTCTCTCTCACATACACGGAATTAAAAAAACGTAATTAGACAAACACAAAGAAGAAAGAAATCTTCAATCGTAAAACACTGCCTCAAGAAGAAACATGTTTATTCATAAAAAAATTATGCCTCTAGCATCTCCTGTTAGGTTTGCAGTTTCTCAATATGAGCTCAGGAATACTTTATGATATGGTGAGAGCTATGAGACAAATCGTATTAAGTGCTGACCAGAAAATACTGGTTCTTCCAAACGTTTCTTCCTTCTTTTATCATTTAAGTGAGTTTTTCAACAATTATGGATCAGAAAGCCATTTCAGACAGCCTGCTCTTTCAAGCTTCAATGATACTGGCCTTCATTAATAACAGGCTACTAAGATGCCATTAAAATCATATAATAGGCCTATACCATTTTTATGTTGTTTCTACACTGATTCAGAGATTCAATGTGAAATCATGACAGTATGTGCGATATATTGTCTGCGATAATATCGTAATTGTTGTTTTAACGATGTGCGATTTGACATTATCGAGTATTTTGTAAAAACCAAACAAAACACACCTACAGAGTGCACGCATAAATTACATGATGAAGTCTAGACTAGTGTGTGTTCGCATTTAGAGTGCGTTCTTTCACTGCATGATTCAGTCTATTAAATATATATTTAGAGGCAGAAAATGTATACATTATACCACTTCATATACTTAATCAATTTCTCATGAAGAGTGCTGTTATTTCTCCCAAAAATGACCATGATTACAAATGTGATATAGATTTTTTACAACAGTTCAATAAACAAGAAGTTAATTAAGAGACTTACATTTTTGAAAAAATATTTCCTGTTTTTGCACTATTTCGACAACAAAAATAATTCCAAACACAGCCACAATGCAGTTCTGCATCTCTGAGCAACATGACAGTGATTCGTTTCTGAATGAATCAACCGTTTAAATTATTCAGTTCAATCGCAATGACTTACTTATTAACAATGACTTGCTGCCACCTACTGGCGGTTTTAATTTCACATTTAAAGTATGTATTCAACGTTTTATGATTAATACATCAAAACATTATTTATGCATTTGTAATTGCAGGTTAAATGCATTCATGTCCTGCATTAAACAGTGAGTAAATACATCTAAATGCCACTTCAGATGCAGCTTCTGTGTTTCCTCAAAGCCCCAAATGTCTTATTATTGTAATTCACTGATTAAATGTAAGAATTTGACTCAAAACATAATGGACACTTTTAGGAAAAAATGGCTTTATAAAGGTTAAAATTGCCCATAAAATAAAAATCTATTTAAACTTATTGGAAAAGATTAATTTCTATCTGACCACCACACTGAATATGAAGAATATCAAAAACTTTAGGAGTCAGCTGTCCAGTCCACAGCAGTCCTAAAGATACCAGCACAATAACACATTCAGCAAAATTAGGGATGCACCGATATGAAAATTTTGCCGATACCGATAACCGATTATTCTTTATTTTTGAAAGCCGATAACCGATATGTTGGCCGATAAATCTATATCCAAATTGTTATATACTTTTTGAGAGCCTGATTACAAAAAAGGTCTCATCATTAAAAGCCACATCCCAAACACTTCAACATAAGCAGCCTAGTTTGAACGGTGTACGTTTTAAAAATATTTTTACTCTCCAATTACCAAATTTTGTCATAAAAAAGTCTTACAAATAAATAAAATAATGCATAAATAATGCAAACAAGTCACTGGACATCATTACACGTGTAAAGAATCAAAATGAATGCGTTACAGATCAATAAAACAGAATTGTATATAATGTTATATACACAACATTCCCAATCATAGTTATTAATGTTGTGCACTGCTGTTTGAGCTGCGTGCGCTGAGCTAAAGACGATCACCGGTAAACTGAAGCGCTCTTTTAACTTAACCAAACGCATTCTATATGAGATAAATCAGATATACATCAAATAAACACAATATTACAACGTACAATTGCACAAAAGGCTGCAAACAAACAGCGCACATCAGAAGGGTCTCTGAAGGAAATAATGCATTATTTATCGGCTTTAAGATATCGGCCAAATTTTCTTATCAGGCCGATACCGATAACAGAAAAAATGAGCATTTATCGGCCGATACCGATATGGTGGCCGATATATCGTGCATCCCTAAGCAAAATATTGTCTAATAATCGTTATTGATAAAATCCCAGAAAATATAGAGATATTATTTTTGTCAATATCGCACACCCCTAGTTTCAATGGCTTAAAATCACTTGTTTTTAAACTGCAATCCTTAAAAATGTGTGCAAACGATAAATTTTCGTTACCATTTAGCACAGCAACGTCATGTGAGCGTGTAACAACAATTGGTCAACTGACAAATTTCTTTTTTTCAAATTTTTTTTTTTTATTGTGTCTACCGGTATATCGCCCACCCCTAGCATGAACATTCTGCTAAACATCTCCCACAGAAGGTTTGGAACAACATGAGGATGAGTAAATGCATTACCTGAGATCTCCTCAAAATAAAATAATTTCCACAAACTTCCCAATACCAATGTTCTCCGTAAACAGATGTTTCCGCTGGTTGAGCCTCATATCTTCTCAAAGCCAAAGGCACCTGCCGGGGAATAACCTACTTCCAATGATCCAGCAAAACTACATGGGCTTTAAGTGAAACTGACAATGGCCATGACACCTGCATACGTTTCATCTGAAATTCCCTTTAAGAGAAGTGTAAAGGTGAAGCGAGGTGAGAATGTGAGGAAACACATTAATTTTTGCCTTTCAGCATTGAGAGTTTTTTCTAAGATGCCCTGACCTGGACTGAACAGAGAGCTCACCAGAAAAATTAAAAAAATAACCACTCACTTCAGTTCTCAGCAGTGCTGAGGAGACATGTGAAGGATCAGGACAGAGGATCACAAAGATCAGCATATAAACGTTTCACAGCAGAAATTGACTAAGTTTACTCTCAGGACTATGTGAAAGAAAAGATCTGATAGAAAATGACTCAACACTATTTATATCTAATCGCTGCCAAGCAGGAGTCCAGTTAAAATGCCTGTAAACTTCTCCGTCTAATGCACTGAAGATAAGACAGGATGCGTTATTGCTTATGAAACCACAACAGGCTGCTTGTCCATGTGCTATTGGCCAATTAAACATTTCATAAACAACTTCACAATGGTGACAAAAACTCTATTGCAAAGGTCTCATCGGACCTGAATAAATGCCAGTGATCAGGAAATGCCGGCATCTAAAGTGCTTACCGTGCTGCAGAGAGACACCTGAAAAATATTGCCATCACTGCCTCCGCAGAATAGGAAATACTCGCAGGGGTCAAAGGTCACTGACATGATGGCGACGTCGAAGAGGACGGACAGGAGCATCTCCCCAGAGGAAACTTCCCAGACCTGTGACATGAGGAGAGAGAAATACAGCTGGTCAATAAAAAAAATTATTAAAAAAAAAGGTCCAAGATGTCTTTTAATAATCTAGTTTGAAACACATGCCAAGTTCTTAGTTGGTTTCATATGTTTGACCTTTAGACTATTTCAACTAAAGTTTTGATTAAATGGTTTTTAAAAAGTTAAGCGTTTTCAAGTAATAAAATATTCTCCCTATAAGAATACAGAAAATGTATGTATAAATCATAATCTGAAGTTTATTTACGTAACGCAAGTTAACGTTTTCTCTTTTTTAGCTCTGTTGCATTAGACCTTTCAATGATTCAGGTGATTTATACGTTCATCATAGATGGGGTTTCAGCAGGCTTTATGAAGATTTAAGACATTTTAAAACCTTTTTAAGACCAAGCAAAGACAATTTTAAGAATAAATGAAAGGGAACATAATAAGTCAATATGGTCTCTACATGTTAATGTCCTGTATTAGCAAAATTCAAAGTTTAAAAATACAACTTCCAACAGATCTCAATTATTTTTTAATTAATAATTTTACATTTTAATTGAAATAATATAATACAATATTAGTTTTTTTCTGTATTTTGATCAAATAGATACAGCCTTGATGAGCACAAGAGACTCCATTAAAAAACATTAAAACTCTGATCCCAAACTTTTGAACAGTAGTGTATATATATATATATACATATTTCTCACTAATGAATACATCTGTATATATGACTGTTTACTCTATCGCACACCAAATGCATCATTCTGTACTTGCATTCTTATATTAAATGCGGCGATCCAAAATCACCATTTAGGCAAAAATCCCTAACACTGATGTTCTTCAACAGTATTTTTGTCGTTTTCCAGTGCAAATTTCTAAAGATTCTTAAATCAAGATCCATCTGCTTGAGAAGCAAAATGACATTAGATGTTTTCGTTTTTTTATGTGAAATTGATCAAAATTAAGCGAGTTTATAATTTTAAAAAGTAATATCTGCCAATGGGCTCAGAAAAACTTAATTCAAAGGGAAAACAAGTTTTAATTCCCCATTGACAGGCATTTGCCCTTGTTTTAAGCTTAAACTCATTTAATTTTGTTGAATTTTCAGAAAACAAGCCATATCGTCATATCTTCAATTTACATATCAATAGTATATCTATTTAGAGATGTTTAGATATTAGCATTGGAAAACAAAACAAAATACTGCATAAGATGTCATTTTTCATAGTGCATGCAATATTTAATGCCTTAATGAATTTAGCACTTTCTGCTCTGATTTAAGACCTTTTAAGGCCTTAATTTGTTAAAGCGTGAATTAAGATTTTTTTTAAGACCTGCAGAAATCCTGCATAGAAGGTGTATTCAAGAAATGTTTTTAATAAACTAATGTGTGGAGAACAAATAAATAAAAAAATCATTAGATTCTTTGACGTTTGCATTGATTAAACTAGAACTGAATAATGACACAAAGAGAGGCAGACAGAGAAAAGAATGAAGAGCCAGATAAGAGTGAATACAAAAAGACAAAGACTTCTCAGTAATCGTTACTCTACAAGCCATATCGTCATATCTTCAATTTACATATCAATAGTATATCTATTTAGAGATGTTTAGATATTAGCATTGGAAAACAAAACAAAATACTGCATAAGATGTCATTTTTCATAGTGCATGCAATATTTAATGCCTTAATGAATTTAGCACTTTCTGCTCTGATTTAAGACCTTTTAAGGCCTTAATTTGTTAAAGCGTGAATTAAGATTTTTTTAAGACCTGCAGAAATCCTGCATAGAAGTGGTGTATTCAAGAAATGTTTTTTAATAAACTAATGTGTGGAGAAAAAATAAAAACACAAAATCATTAGATTCTTTGACGTTTGCATTGATTAAACTAGAACTGAATAATGACACAAAGAGAGGCAGACAGAGAAAAGAATGAAGAGCCAGATAAGAGTGAATACAAAAAGACAAAGACTTCTCAGTAATCGTTACTCTGTCTAGGTCAGGACGGTGCTTCCCTCAGGAAGATCAAATCCTCAAAGACTGCCATCTCTTCAGCATCTACACGCTCCTGTTCCAACTTCCAGCTTAATGGTAGCACTTTTGCCAAAAAGTCTGATGGTTTCTCATTGGTTCAGGGGTAATGCAGTGTTATCGTCTCAGAGAAAGTGCTGAAGTGGACATTAGACAGCTCAGAAGCTCAGCTTTGGAAAGCTCTAGTTCTCTGCAGTGAGTTTGCAGAGCCAACATCTCAAACTTTCAGTCCAAGTGAAAGGTCTGTTCTTGCAGATCTTGTAAGGAGAGAACAACCATTATTCTCAAATTTACAGCTGCTTTTTAAAACATCTTCAATCAATGGAAATATAAAGTTGAAGTGGAAGATTTTTTACTTAGTGAGCAAGAACATACTGCATGTGAGCTTGTGCAACGAGAATTAACCGAGGAGCTCCGCAGCCCTTCCCTGCATGAGTCCAAGGTGATTGATGCCCCATCATAAAGAAGACAAACTGACCGTGAAATAATTTTGGCTGAAAAGGATCAATGCCCATGACCCAGTCATAAAATGTTAAGAGTGAAAGGAAACTGCCCATTATCACATAGCCACATTTACTGAATTAGAAAAGACATGCAGAACAGAAACCATATAATTTTAATCATTTAATAATTTATGCACATTTTTAAGAAAAACATGGAGATATCTAGAGTGGCTGATTTTCTGATAATAATTTAAAAAAACAGTATAAATCTATCATAACAATAAAAACAACAATATAACAACAACCTTATAATAATATAAAATTATAATAAAATATAATGTACAATGTTATTACATTAAATGTTCAGAAATATGACTACAAATATATATTTACACTTATATATGTACAATTGAAATTATGAATTATAAATTATGAATTTAAATTAATGTTAAGTTTACACAATATTTACTCAAAACTCACAAATTTACAAAAAAGTAAAACATTTTATTAACAAGGCAGTGTTTTCATTGATAACTAAAACAGAAACCCTTTATTTTTTGGTAATTGAAGTAGAGCCAAAATAAATATAAAATATAAATATTAGATGACAAACTTTGGCAACTTAATGTCAACTATAAGTAGGTCTACTCAAAATACAAAAAATGATAACTGAAACAACAATAAAGCTATTCAGAAATATAAAAAACTAATAAAACTGACAAAAGCAAACTGAAAAAAATAAATGAAAATATGAAAATAAAAGCCAATTTAAAGTATTAATAAACACTACATAATACTAAATTAAAGGGGGTCATATGATGCGATTTCAATTTTTCCTTTCACTTTGGAGTGTTACAAGCTCTTGGTGCATAAAGAAGATCTGTAAAGTTGCAAAGACTAAAGTCTCAAGTCCAAAGAGATATTCTTTATAAAAGTTAAGAGTCAGCCACACCTACCTAAAACGACTCGTTCTAACACGCCCCCACATACCTACATCACTATGTTGGAAGCTTCGCATAACGCCTTTTAGCAGCATCATATCAAGTCAAGTCACCTTTATTTATATAGCGCTTTTAACAATACAGATTGTGACAAAGCAACTGAACAGCATTAATTAGGAAAATAGTGTCAATATTGCAAAATGACAATAGTAAACACAAATTTTTCAGTTAAAGACAGTTCATCATTGAATTCAGTGATGTCAACATCCAGCTCAGTTTAAATAATATCTTTGCATCATATGACCCCTTTAACACTGTCACAAGGCTGGTGATGAAAAATATGAAAATTCGGTCATCGTTTACTCACCCTCATGTCGTTCCAACCCTGTATGAGTTTGTTTCTTCTGCTGAGCACAAAAGAATATGTTTTAAAGAATGTTGGTAACCAAACAGCTGGCGGTAGCCATTGACTTCCATAGTATTTTCTTTTCCATAGTATGGAAGTCAATGGCTTCCGTCAACTGTATGGTTACCAACATTCTTCAAAATAGCTTCTTTTGTGTTTAACAGAAGAATGAAACTCATTTTCATTTTTGAATAAACCATCCCTTTAATTTGCCTACTGGAATAGTTTCTAAATGGTCAAAAATCAACCAATTAATACACCCAGACAGTATATCAGTCATAATTCAAATAAACCTCATAAGAAACCACAGGCATAAAAGCTTCTTTCTAAACGTAGAGTAAAGGTCATGTGTTGTTCAACCAAATTAATTGACCATTTCATAAATCAGGCTGTCCAATGCACTGGTCAAAGGTCAGGCAGTGCATCTGTGTGGGCTGAACTCTAGTTTGTCAATCCATGCAGCCGTTAGACGTTTTTAACCATCATTAAACACCCAAAAGCGATCAGTCTGCAGTTTGACACAGAGACACCTCTCCATCCCTCTTGCGCTAACAAGCCCATGTCTTTGTGCGATGTGACCTCCCAGAATCCCCTCACGACAACAACAGACAAAATAATTAATCTACGATGACTGACAGGCCGTAATCCACTGTAGCCGATGCTATTGAGCTCAGATGACTAATGAACAACAGTGGGACGGATTAAACATCAAAATGATCAACTTGATTGATTGCAATCTGATGGCGACCACTTTGTCTAAAGGGGATAGAGCACAAACGGGGAGGGAGTGACTGGAGCCAACAAATATCAGAAAAAAAATAACAATTTTAGTTTAATGGTAGCATGAGATGAAGCTTTAAAGTACATATTCAGCCTTTGATAAGTGACGTCTGTGTTCTCCACCACCGAAAAGCACCACTTTTCACTGGCTTAAAAGGAGTTGAATTAAAAAGCTCCTAAGAGACACCCATAAACAAACAAAAAACTCATTTACTGGTTGAAACATTCAAAAACTGGCCTTTAAATTCTGTCAAGACTGCATTTTCAATGCCATTTTTCCTAAATTTTTCACATAGCTTATTCATTTCACATACCTTTAGGCTGTATTTATTTATATAAATATAAAATTCAATATACTGCATGACTCGACCCACTATCCATTATAATGATGACTAAC